TAGGCCAAGCTGCACCATGGACCCACTGGTGTGTGTGAGATCTGCCACTGGGAGGTGACCTGTTAGAGGAGATTGGGAAACTCCTCTGTCAGGATGCAGTCCCTGCAGGTGAGCACAAGAACCAAGGCTGGGAGCAGCCCAGACCAAGCCAGGTTACAGTTCCCGCTGGTATGTATGTGGGTCAGGTCTGGGGTCAGGCCAGGTTGGGTCAGTTAACAGCACCCATTGGCAGATGTGAGAACCAGAATAGGGTGCAGGACAGGCTGAGTTGGGCCACAACACCAGCCAGTTTACATTAGGGCCAGGACTTGGGGCTGGCTGAGCTGGGCTAGCTGTAGTACCCACCAGCATGAGCTGGAACTGGGGGGCAGGCCAGGCCAAGCCAGGGTGAAGCTCCCACCAGCACATGTAAGACCCAAAATGGGTGAAGGGGTGAGCCCAGCAGGGCTTCCTGCTGGTGATAATGAGAGCTGGAACTGGGAACAGACCAGACTGGGCAAGCCTACAACATCCATTGGTCAGTGTGTGAGCTGGGTTAGGGGACCAGATAGGCTGGGCTAAGCGACCATATCCACAGGTGCATACATGAGCCAGAGTAAGTGCAGATTGGTTGGGCTTTGCCATAGCATCAGCTGGAAAGTGCTAGGACTAGGGGCAAGTCCTGTCATGCTAGACTATAGAATCACCTGGAAAGGGTAAGATTCAGGGCTGGGAGTAGGCCCAGTAGGGAAACTGTGGGTACCTCTCTGATGTTCTGCAACTCCCACTGGTAAGCATGACAACCATGGCTGGGGGTAGGTCTGGCTAGACAGGTGGTAGCATCCGCTAGCATGAGTGTAGGCTGGATAATGAGATCGGTTGGGTTGAGCTAAATTCCAACACCCGTTGATATGTAGAACTGAGTGGGATGTGGAATAGACTGGAACAGTCTGTTGCACTCACTGACATGCAGAGTAACCAGGGTGGGCCCAGTTGGGGTTATTTGGGGTCACCCTGGCTAGGTTGTAGTTCTTGTTGGTATATGTGAGGGTAGAGCGTGTGGTGGGCAGGGTTAGGCCTTGGCATCCATTGATTTGCATATGAGAGGTGCTGGGGACAGGACTGATCAGGTGACTGCAACCACTAGTGTGTGTGTAGGCTGATGTGGGTGATGGACTGACCCGGACCCCACACTGGCTGGCACACACAGGAATCAGCTTGGGGTCACCTCTGGCAAGGTTTCTTTGGGGACCCCCCAATTGGATCACTGCACTCAACACCAACCATTGTGAAAATCACAGGATCTATGTGGTCTGACCATAGAGTGCTTGTGCCAGAACTGGGTTTCCATGGTTGCTGAGGTCTGTGTAGTGGATGGCATGCTCAGATGCTCAGATGCTCATGGGGCACATGTCAACCAATTCATTGAGGCTTGCAGAGGACAGCTAGTACCATGGAGGGCAGAATAAATTGTACAGCTCTCCTGGATAAGTATCTGGGCAAATCGAAACTCTAAGGTGGCTTATGTCAGCCAGTGCACTTGCAGCAATGACATCAACAGCATCTCAGAACTATCAAAACCGCTTAAGCAGAATCCCCAGAACATGCTCCACATCAGGGACCCTGGGATGACCGCAGGTGGACATTCCTCATCCACAGGTGCTGATGCAGCTGGGTTCCAGGGAGTGGTCCTTTCCTCTTCTGTCTCCACTTTCCCCAGAAGAAAAAGGGAGATTGGAGGTAATTGTCTCATCTACTTTCTCCTATTCCTTGACCTTCCCCATCCTCATGTGTGGTCCACATTGGGCATGTATCCCTCTCAACTAGGTAAACGTCACCAAAATAAATTGAATTATTTTAAAAAGTTTTTTAAAAAGTCTCAAGCACCTTGAGATGCTGGGGAGCCTAAGAATCATCACCTGACCAATCAACTGCAGACTCACTCTGGGAGACTGGGGAGAAAGTAACTAAGAGGAGTTAAGCCCTTTGGCAAGATCATGAGCACGTGGGAACTGCTTATGGACTAAATAAGTAGACATGCGGAACTTGTTTTGTGGCTATCTCTTTGCACAGTTGTCTATCTTTCTCACACATGATCACTGTCTTGGAAATAAGGAGCAGACCCTGAGATTAGGAGACCTGCCCAAGGCCATTGAGTAACTGAGGAATGGAGCTGACAGGGCTGCTTCCTAAAACGGCCAGGTCAAAGTTGAAGACACCCCTTCCCCCCTCCCTGGCTTAGCTGCCCATGCCACTTTCATTCTATGTCCTTGGCTGTCTGTTGGTTGCTGTCAGGGAGTTGCTTTCCTGGGGTCAGGAGTTCGGTTTCTTCACTAGTGTTTCAGGAGCCCACATGGGCAGGTGCTTCGTCGGACACTTGCTGAAGGCTAAGGGCATGAACGATGGGATTATTTTCAAGTCCTGTCTTTCTCCACCTCTGAGAGGGAATGCTACAGGCTGGCATATGCCTGCCCTGAGCTGGGAAGGCAGCTATGGGTCTCTGAATGCTTCGGGCCATCAGTGGAAGGCTGATTTTATCAGAGGGATTGGCTGCTGGAGAATGGTAGAAGAGCAGCCAGGAAACTGGCACTTGCCCCATCTCCAGGCCTGGTACCACCACCATGGTGGCATGTGTAGGTGTGGATGCCACAGGCTAGTGGTGGCCTTTTTCAGAACTTGACTTCCCGCATTAAGTGGCCCTGGAGGAGCAATATGTTGACTGGTGATGATGACAAGCTTGATGTAAGTGCACAAATAGGCATTTATCAGGAAATCTCTTGCAAATTGAGTTACAGTGAGTCATTTGCAGAAGCCTGGCAGCTCTGGTTGCTGGACAGATGGAGGGTGTGAGCCAGCCAGGTGAGCCAAGGCTCATCCCTCAGGCTGGCACTCTGACTGCCCTCTGCCCTGTAGCTTCAGCACCATCTGAGCACCTGACAGAAGTGCACTTTCCCTGGCCCCATCCTCTGACCTGCGGAACAGGAAGCTAGGCGCAGTGCCGGGAATGTTGTGCTCCGGGTGATTCTGATGCAAGGTCAAGCTTGAGAACCTTGATTACAGGTTCGCTTTCAGGGCAGCTGTCATGCTGCAAGGGGCAGGGTGGGGCAGAGGGAACAGTCAGAGGTGGGGAGAATCCAAGAATTCACAGATCCAAGCAGGGATTCTGTTGCAAATCAATGAAGACTGGGTCAGGCACTCCTTGGGGAAGGGGCAAGGAAACCCCTCACATTTCAGAAAAATCTCAGAGGAGGGGTTAGTTTGTAAAAGGAAATTTCACACACGTCATACTTTTTTCTTTTTTTTAAAGATTCATTTATTTTTATTGGAAAGGCAGAAAGAAAGGTCTTCTATGTGCTGGTCCATTCCCCAATGGCTGCAATGGCTGGAGCTGAGCTGATCCAAAGCCAGGAGCCAGGAGCTCCTTCTGGGTCTTCCATGTGGGTGCAAGGTCCCAAGACTTTGGGCCGTCTTCCATTGCTTTCCTAGGCCATAAGCAAGGTGCTGGATTGGAATTGGAGCAGTTGGAACATAAACTGATTGCATATGGGACCTCGGCACTTACACAAGGAGGATTAGTGAGTTGAGCCATTGTGTTCAATTTCAAAGATTTATTTATTTGAAAGGCAGGGTGATGGGAATGGGAGACAAGGAAACAGAGATATCTTCCATCTGCTGGTTCATTCCCCAAATGGCCACAATGACAGTTTCTGAGCGAGGCTGAAGCCAGAAGCTCCATTCTGGCTTCAGACTTGATACTTATTTTTAAATGTCAAATAACATTAAAAGAATGTTTATTTACTTTAAAGCAGAAAGATGGAGTGATACAGGGAATTCTTCTGGCAGGCACCCACGCACTCGAGCCATCCTCTGTTGCCTCCCAGGGTGTGCATGAGCAGGAAGCTGGCATTGGACAGGGAGTCAGGACTCCAGCCCAGGCATGCCAAGATGGGAGTTTTCCCAACTGGTGAGGGCTGCTGTGCCAAGCGCCTGTCCTTGAATAAAGGGTAATGCAAACTGTCACCTGGTACTGAATGCTTTAATGTCTGTCTGTACTCAAGGGGGAACATGCTTGGATTCCAGCCCCTGTCCAAGCCTCACACCAAAGAAAGCTGTCCACACACGCACACACACACACACACACGTGCACACATCCCCCATCCCCACATACATGTGTGCACACACACACCCTTCCCCCTCACATATATGCAAACACACCCTGCCTACATACACTGGTAAACACACATATTCCCCATACACACGTGCCTAGACCTTAGCTGGCATGAGAGCTCTAAGACGCCTGCCTAGCGTCCCAGGGCCCCCATCGTGCGCCATGGTATGTGAGAACCTAGCTATGTGAGGACGAATTAGGGACCTCTGCCATCTAGGAGATTCCAGAACATTCACAGGGGGAGACACCACTTCTGGTTGGCAAATCTTGCCTCTAAGCAGAGTCTGGCGGCACCGCTGATCCGTGCGCCTCTCCCCGCGCGTTGACACGTTCTCGCCTCTTAGGAAGCCCAGGCTCTGGTAGTGCTCTAATCACCTGCGGGGAGAAACAGGTGCGCGCCTGAGGCCGCACCCCAGGCCGTGTGGGAGCCACCAAGCCCGGACTGTGTGCTTGCTCCAGGGCAGCGCCAGCCCGGCCGTGCGCTCCAGGGCACCGCCAAGCCCCCGGGCTCGCTGAGCTGCGGAAGCGGTTCGGCTTTCTGCAGGCCTGAGGGTTCCCATCCGCGCAAATTCAAAGGAAAAGTACTTCAAGCCCCTTCCCACTAGATGGCGGCCCCCAAACCCTCTTACCGACTCAGGGGAACCTCCCCTGCCCCGGGGTTCCAGGGTTCGGCTATCGCAGGGCAACAGTGGGGTGCACACCCGCCTCTGCACTATGGGGCCATGGGCCTCTCCCGGGCCAGACGCGGGAGTGGCGGGAAGAGGAGGCTCCCACCGACCCTCGGCGCCGGGGGCGGGGTGCAGGCAGGGGCGGCGCGGAGCAGCCCCTCCCGGGAGGAGTGCCCCCTTCTCCCCACGCCCGCCCGGAGGAGAAGAGCTCGCGGCGCCGTGCGGGGTGGCGGGCCCCGAGGGCGCGGAGCGCGGCAGGTGCACGGCGCGGACTACAAGTCCCAGCATGCCCTGCCGCCCTGACCCGGCCCCCGCGGCCACTTAAAGGCTCCCCCGGGAGCTGCAGCCGTCGGGTCGCGGCGGCTTTCGCTTTGCTGCCGCGGCTGGGCGGGCGGGAGCAGCGGACTCGCCGGCCGGCGCTCGCGGCGTCCCGGCTCGGGCCACGCCGAGGAGCTGTCCTCGCGCAGCCCTCCGGGCTCAGGGCTTGCCTGCCGAGGCGCCCCCCGCCCCGGGCTCCTCGCCTCGACCCCCCGGCGGCCCCGATGCCGAGGCATGGATAGAGCGGCGCTGCGCGGGTCGGCGATGGGCGAGAAGAAGGAGGGCGGCGGTGCGGATGCCGCGGCGGATGGGAGCGCCCGGGCCGCGGCCAGCCGGGCGCTGCAGCAGTGCGGGCAGCTGCAGAAGCTCATCGACATCTCCATCGGCAGCCTGCGCGGGCTGCGCACCAAGTGCGCCGTGTCCAACGACCTCACCCAGCAGGAGATCCGCACCCTGGAGGTAAGGGGCCCGCGGCGCCGGGCTGGAACCCGGCCTGAGCCGGGACAGCCGCCGCCTCCACGCCTCTCTTCCAGCCCCAGCCTCATCCTCGTGCCGGCTCGCCCCTACCCGCCCCTCCTCGCCTCGCCTCGGAGGCGTCCCCTCCCTCGGCCGCCGGCTGAGGCGGCAGCTGGAGGACCCAGGACCGCCCTCCCCAGGGACAGCGTTTGTGGGGCGGGGGTGCATGGTGCGGACCGGGATGGAGGTTCGAGGAGCCGGTAGGCGGATTGGGCAGCTCGGGGACACCCTTCCCTCTGTCCGCCTCCACCGCATTTTCCAGTCTGCGGGGCCGCAGGGGTAGGGTTTACCCCGCCCCGAGTCACGCGCTGGACTTTCCCTCGCGCGCCGGGCGCCAGCCGGGTCCCCCTCAAGTGCGAGCGCCGGCCGGTCCTCCTCTCCTTTCCCCTCACGCCGCAGACCCGGTCCTGGCCCTTGTTCTCTCCATCTCCTCCTGTGGGTCTGGTCTGCCGCTTTTCAGAAATTGCTTGCTCAAGCTGCATTTTTTTGCTATTCAGTCGTTCGGTGCCTGCCACAGCGCTTCCCTGCTCCAAATGCTGAGAACTCACAGGCTCCCCCACCCCGCGCTACCCCCGTCCGCCTCCTTCAAACACTGGGTTTTGGCTTAGAAAGGATTATGCCGGGAAAGGCAGCCTTGGGTGGGAAGGTGACACTGTCACAGGGATGCTGGTGGAGGAGATGGCCTGGGAGTGTGAGGACGAAAGGTGATTTAGGGTACCTCCCCCCGGGGGAGGGCTGTATTAAAAGGATTTGGAAGAACCAGCTGGAGAAGTGGTTGGGGGTCTCAGAACCCCAGACACAGCAGATAGAAGCTGGTGCAGCCCAATTTTGTCCAGAGACTCAGAGGCCTGTGAAATTCTGGGGACCGCTTAACAGTCGGGGGCGGGGGCGCTCGCCGCACCTGATGGTTGCGTGGCTACTTCTGCAGGTGTCCTTCTGCAGGTGTGGGGTGTTTGATTTTATTAGATCATCACCACCACCCCCTTGCTAATTGTCTCTGCCAGCTGTCGCAGGGCCAACCCGTGATTGCAGTAATTGTTCACAAGACCAATCCTCCCTCCTCCACTCACGCGGCAAGACTGACTTCTCCTGTTATCTCGAAGGTGCAATGGTGACAGTCTCTCGCTCTAATTTTTCTCCAAAGAAGCCAAGCCAGGGGCATGGGGAAGAATGCAGGCCATGCTGACTGTGAACTATTGTTGTTTTATTACAGTTGCTATAACAGAGCTGACCAGAGCTTTGCTTGAAAAGCAAACTAACAGAACCATACTTCCCACCCGTCCTTCTGTCCGCCCATCGCTGTTTTCCAAGTGCCGTCGATTTCACAAACACAGCTGAGCATGTTTGCCCAATGAAGTTGATGGTTCAGCACACACAATAGGGGGCCTGTATAGCTTGGATCTACGAGGAGGGGGTCGCTGTGCTTGTGAGGCTCTGAGATTACTTGCTGGTGTGGCCTCTGCCCAGTGGCTGTGAAGTGCTGCTGGCTCCCAGGGTGTGATGTAGGAGAGACGCTGGCTGTCCTTGCTTGGGAAGTGTGATGTTTCGATACCACAGGGCCTTATAGCTGGTACCCAAGGATACATGCAAAGAGGGCTCCTGGGTGACAGGCTGCATAGGGCTCTCTGTGCCACACAGCAGGAGCTGAGTCATTTACTGGGGTGGGAGCCTAGGTGCATCTGAGTACCCCCAACTAGCTAGAGTGAACTGTGGAGGCCGTGGCATCCTTGCTTGCAATCATGCAGCTTGGGGAAGTCTCTGCGAGCCCTCTCCGTGCCGGGGGCTCCGCGAAGGCGACTTGGGCTGAATGTTTGTGATTGCTTTTAGTCACACCCCCGTTTTGGAGTTGTTTTAAAATCTAGACTTAACCAAAATGCTAAGGTAGGGGTTAAGAATGTCAACAGAAAGTTCCCCTCTTCCCCCAGCTTTGAAATTGGTCCTGGTTCCATGTATATGAGCCTCGGGCAAGCTGCGTGACTTCTGTCAGGCTTCTCTGTGACACGGGAAAGAGCGCGCTCATTCCTGTAGCATGCTGGCAACTTGTCCACGCAGCTGCTGTGCTCAGATCCTGCTGTTGAGTTTGCCCTCTGGGGAGGGAGCTTCTGTCTCAGGCCCCGTGGCCTAGGGGTGGGCGGCAGGGGCCAGAAGACAGCCCCGGCAGGCAGAGCGGGGGCGACTGGCCCCCAGCAGCATCTTGTGGAGCCGGGCTGGCCAGTGGCTGTGTCCTCTGAGCTCTTTCCTGCTCTGCGGGATCCTCTGGTTCATGGAGCCAGGCTCCCCAGAGATGGTGCTTGCAACATTGGATTCCCAAGCTTTAAAGAAGGGCTAGGTTTTCACAACCATAGCAGACTTCTGCCAGCCTCTTAGGAGGCTGGCCCTGATGGAGTGAGCACTCAGACAGGAACCCCTGAGGTGTCCCTGGACTGGGTGGGCTGTGGCGGGGTGTTGTATGCCCTGTAATGGCTTTGCTCTGTAGTGGTCTGTCTGGACTGAGAAAGCCTGGAAGGGTCAGAGGCTTCATGTTTGTTGCCTGCCTGCCTGCCGGGCAGTGTGCTGGTCCCCAGCTTTCAGCACTCACACATGGATGTGCCTGCTCTCCACGTGCGCTCACAGAGTCAACCGACTCCTTCCTCCCTCTGGGTCCTCTCGGTGGCCCGCCTCTGCTGGGGAGAGAGATGTGCAGAAGCATGCCTTGTGGCGAATCACACTTTGGGGACACAGCAGCTTGGCCTTCTTGCTAGTTTCCCTGGCGTCCTGGGAACAGGCTCTACTCCCTGGGGTAGTCGTGCCAGCTTGCACTTGTTCTAGAGGAAAGTCTCTAGGCAAGCCAGCCTGGGAAGACGGGTTCCCCAAGGCCCTTGCCCATGAGGTCTCAACTGGGGAGGGCACAGGGGAATTGTGGTGGTGGCAGTTCCCAGTTCAGCAGGTGCCTGGGGCCATGAGGCGTCACAAGGAGGTCTTACTGCTGTTCCCAAGGTCAGAGAGGCTGACCAGAGGTCAGGTCAGGTGGGGACTGTGCTGTGCTGGATCCTGGGACTGCTAGGGAGAGGACAGGGCTGCCACCTGTGCTGGGGGGATCAGGCCCCTCATGGGTGAGGCAAGGACACAGTCACTTCATACTGATTGGCTTCCTGGGCTTGTCGCTGGCAGCCACAATGTCCCGAGTTAGGTGGGTGCCATCCCAATCTTTGGGCTTTAGGAGCAGTTAGGGTCTGAGGGGTGAGCCAGGTGGGTGACTGGCAGAACCCGTGTTAGGCATCCCACTGACCACCTGACTGGTCCAGCCTCTGGTTTTCTGGGAAACATTTCTAGAGTGTTGGTGACTTCTCCCGACTCACCTGTCCCTGGCAGCACTGAGACTGAAGCCCGACTCCCGACCCAGCTGGAGAGTGGTGTTCCTCTGGTTTAAACTGTGCCCCGGTGACTTGCCCTGGACTCTCCCTTTGGAGTCTGCTGTCACCTAGGCAGCTTTTCCCATGGCCACACTTGCTTCCTGAGTATTCCCCAGAGCCTGTCTGGACAGGGTGGCTGTGAGCCCGGGGAGAACTAGCTGGTGCTGGAGGGTGAGGCTGCATCAGATCTGCAGCCCACGTTAGTTAGTGGCAGGGAGGCTCTCTGATCTGCCTGGGGATGTTGATGGGTGCGCAGGGCCCTCTCTCTCCTCTTCCCTCTCCTCTGATGGGTCTGGGTTGGCTCAGAATCCTGGAAAGCAGCATTCCACACTGCCAGCCTTCTGGTCCTGCCTCCTGGCTGTGGTTTAGAGAGGGACCAAAGCTCGGCAGGCGCTGGGCTGCAGTGACACAGTGCCTGCACAGGTGGAGGGCAGCAGCAGTCCCGTGGCCGGGTCTCTGAGCTGTGCTTTCTAAAAATACTTGCCTTTTCAAACAGGCTGGTTGAAGGTTTTTTTTTTTTTTTTCCTGCCTTCAGGTTCAAAGAAAGCTGCAGAGGTACCTTTGAGGTTATGGACATGGCCTTGGCAGAGAGAAGGCAGCATTGTTGGTTTCCTGTGGTACGGAGTGCTCTGCCAGGCTCTTGGCATGCATGGCTCCAGTGAACACTCACAGTGGCCCTATGAGGCGTGCCTCTGCCTTGCAGGTGGGGAGGTTGCAGCTAATGGTTGGAGAGGTTGGGCCCCTAGATATTGGAGTCTGGGCTAGCTGGTGATGCGCTGAGCTCCAGGGTTGTGGGTGGAAACTGGACTGCTGGTAGGGATTCTGCTCAAGGTCATGGTTACGGAGGATGAGGACAAGGCCTGGAATAGAAAGGGCTGGCCTGGGGGTGTGTAGTGGCTCAAATGCTGGTCGCTTGGGCTATGTGGCCTCAGAGTTTAGGCATAGGGCTGCTTCTCTTAACGTCCAACCTAGCACATCCTCAAAGACTGGGCTCCATCAGCCAACTGTGATGCACCCAGCTCCGTGTTCTGAGAAATGAGAAGCTGTCCCGAGATCAACTTACTCATAATTTTTTCAATGGCCACCTGCTGCCTTTCTGATAAATGGGATAGTCTTTATCTTCCTGCTTTTAATTAAAACATTTTAAAAACAAACTGTGATAATGCATTCACTGCTAAGACAAATGCAGGATGGGCTACAGAAATCACCCCCAGTGTCCCTTCAGAGTTCGTCGCCATGAATGTTTAACTGTGTGTGCATGTGTCTTTGTGTTTGTGAACATAGTACACAGGTAGACTTGTGGGCCATCCTGTGTGCATGGCCTGTCACTATCTCGGCTCCACATCAGCATGGTCACAAAGGCAGTATATCATGTGGTCGGACCATGAAGTCATCCAACCGGTCTGCTGTTGTGTCGTCTAGGCTGTTTCTAAGTCTTGCTTTTGTCAGTCATGCAGCCAGAAGCATGTTCCTAGAAGTGGAATTTTCTGGGTTGAAGTATAAGAACATATCTACTATCAGAACTACGGAGTTTTTTAAAGATTATTTGAA